TAAGAATCCTCCCGGCTCTGAAATTAACGCCTGAAGATATACGCCAAGGTTTCATCAACACTTACGAGGAGGCTCAAACAGTCTCAAAACATTAGAGACTAGCAACACGTCATGCTGCTGCTGCTGCTGCCACCAAGGTTCTGATGTCTGCCGTCACCCTCAGACGTCACGCTTGGCTTAGGTCCACTATCATGGATGATGTCAAAACAAGGATAGAGAATCTGCCCTTTGATTCTACGGGCCTTTTTAACGAAAAAGCAGACAATAATTTGGACGAACTTCATAAAATGAAGAAAACCGCCAAGTCATATTCAGTGCAACAGCAACTTAGTTTTCCCAAATAGCAATGGCTACAACCCTACTCACAATATTCTCAATATTCACAATACAGTCTTCTCAATCCTTCCGTCCTTTTAAAGGCCAAGGTCCATCCAGATCATCACAGGCAGCATCTTCTTCATCTGCCTTCCGTTCCCAGTCCACACAGTGTCGGCAATCCTACAAACCTCCTGCAAAGAAATCAAAACATTATCTTTGACTTTCCTTTGCCTCTGACCGGACGGACCCATCCAACACGACTTCATCCCTTTTTACAAAACTGGACAAACAGATGCCTGGGTTCTAAACATCATTCGCTCAGGATATCAGCTGGAACTAATAGAATATCCTCCTTTGGGACAGGTAAAACTCACACTCTCCAACCCTGTCCTAGAAGAAGAAATTCGAACCTTGTTATGGAAACGTGCCATCCAGAAAGTACCCAGAAGAGACATAAAAACGGGTTTTATTCTCGCTACTTTGCGGTCCCAAAAAAAGATGGGGGAATCAGACCAATCTTAGATCTAAGGGAGCTGAACACTCACCTTCATGCAAAAAAGCTTCAGGATGGTCACCCTAGACTCCATCATCCACCTATTGAGAAAAAAATGACTTTTTTGTGGTAGTAGATCTCAAAGATGCCTACTTCCATGTGACAATCCATCCAAACCACAGAAAATACCTTCGGTTTGTATTCCAGAACACCATTTACCAGTACCTGGCTCTCCCATTCGGGTTGTCCACAGCGCCAGGGACATTCACGAAATGCATGGCGCCAGTGGCAGCATTCTTACGACTTCAAGGAATCCAGGTTTACCCGTACATAGACGACTGGCTGATCGTCTCTCCATCCAGGCAACAAGCCATCAAAAAAACCAACTTCGTTCTACACACTCTAAAGAGTCTAGGTCTCACAATCAATACAAAAAAAATCAACTCTCACACCAGAGTCATAAATTATATAGGAGCCAGACTAGACTCCAATGTAGGCAGAGTGTTCCTTCCCTCAGAACGAATCAGAAAGATAAAGACTGCAAGTACAGAAGTTCAAACCAAACAAAACGGTACCGTATTTTTTGCTCCATAAGATGCACCTGACCTTAAGACGCACCTAATTTTTAGAGGAGGAACAGAGGGAAAATATATTCTGAACCAAATAGTGTAATATAATATTTAATAAACTATAACAGAATAACATTTGAACCATGTAAAGTGAACAGCAATGAACAGTGGCATTAATATAGACCATTATCAGCCAGTGATAAGACCTATATCACACTACCTATATTTTACATTTCCTTTCATCCACCTCCTCCCCATGCTTATAGAAATGTCTCAATGACAGATGATATTGTGGTGCAACTTTGCCCAGCTACAGCTCAAGCCTATATTAAGTTAGAAATGGTTTGTCTGATTTGGCACTGCATTGAGAGGTCCCTTTTAGTTGTGTGGAGGATAAATAGTGGAATTAAACTATTTAACAGCTGGTTTTCCTTATTTACTTTAGGTTATGCAAAAGAACAGCAACACAAAGCTTAACCTGATCCCATTCACCAGCAGTAGCACATGCTCAGCATAAGACCAAATCTCCATTTTCTGACATAATTGAATGTTTATAGCATGCAAGGCACAACAGGTTAGGCCACACAAAGCCATGAACAATGTTCTTGATGAGCCAAAAAAACTGAATACTAACTATAGTAGCTGAAATCAGGAAGCAGGTACTGTAATCCAGTTAGAAGTCACGAGGCACAGTTAGTTTCCTTGCAGCAACACCCTTTGGAAATACATTCTCTATTAGATGCCCAGAACTAGTTGAAAAGTTTGCAAGTTGAATCCAAATTACCAATAAAAATACATTGAAAATTAATTAATGCATTATTGGGGGGGGGGGGAAGGTCAGAAACTTTAAAAACTTAAAAGAAAGTCCCTTACCAGTTACTGTAGACTGAGCCTTGCTCTTCATTGTGCCCTGGTAGACCCCAGATCAGCCAAAAAAGAGCCCTAAACATCTAAAAGCCACCAGGCAGCCGGCAGACGTCAGCCATTTTGTACTCTTCTCGCTCCTGCTCCTTCCCCCTCCCCTCTCCCTACCTAACAGCTGATCAGCGGTGGTCTGAAAGGCTTTGCAGGCAGCTTTTAAAGCAAGTACCCCTATGCACAAGCAGGTTTCAACTCAAACGGAGAACCTTTTCCCCCAAGCACAGTTTAACCCAAAGCAAGCAGGTTTTAAAGTAAAACAAGCAGATTTTTAAGGCAAGCATGCACGTTTCTACACAAGCAGGTTTCAACTCAAACGGAGCACCTTTTCACCCAAGCTCTAACTCCAAACAAACAGTTTTTGAACTAAATTTAACATTTTAAAAAGACAATACCAGGCAGTCCTAGGTCTCTCTCCCAGCTCTCTAACTGCTTGAACTAGCAAGGAAGCAGACGAGCAGCCTCTTCACTAACTGAAAGTTTGAATTTCCCCGCTTTCCCTGCCTTCCGTGCATATTAGGTATACTAATATCTGTGCACTGGAGGATTGTGGGAGGAACATCCAGCCCCTGGTGGGGGTCCTGTGGGGCACCCCAAAACACTGAGTAGCTCTCTTGGCCTCTTTCGATACTGGGGCTGTGCAGCCCTGTTCCGATCAGGAGGTGCAGCCGAGGGGTCACCATGCCTTTTGGGGACAGGGCACAGAAAGGGGGAGGTGGTTTAGGGGACATTCCAACTCATACCTGGCAGGGGAGATACTATTGTTGTAAAGGTGGTTTTCCTGGGGTAAGGCTCATCTATTGCACTCTGGATGTGCTGACCCCTGTGATTTCCCCAAATGTGGGAAAACCAACTGCCTAAGCAGGGGACTGTGTTTGTGGTTTCCCCTGTTCTTTGTAGAATTACTCTTTCCCCTTTGGTCCTTGGCTATTTTCACTGCCTGCTACCATAGGCCTGTTAGCCTTGTTGGTTTTCCAGGTGGGCTGCAGGAAGGAGATCCTGGAAAGCCAGCAGTGCAGAATGGTGAGGTCCAAACAGCAAGCCGTGTCTGGTGCTAGTTCAGAGGCCTCCCAGCATGGTAGTAGGGGGTTTCTGGGTGGTGGTTGAACCCCTTTTTTACTGTATTTGTTTCATAAGACGCACATACTTTCTCCCCCACTATTTGGGAGGAAAAAAGTGTGTCTTATGGAGCAAAAAATACAGTATGTGCTCAAAAGGCCCAACACCTTTTAGGACTCATGGCATCCATAACACCTGCCTTGGCTCACGCAAGACTAAAGATGTGCTTTCTGTCCCTCTTCAATCCGATTCACGACAGTCAAAGGAAAAGACTTCATGTCTCTCCAGAACTTGCACAACAGCTACAGTGATGGACTTTTCTCCCACACCTCATGATCGGCCATCCTTTCAAACTTCTCCAGCTAACAATCCAAGTCACAACAGACACCAGCCCCATCGGATGGGGGCACATTGCGGAAATCATCAGATACATGCCTTGTGGTCCCAGCAGGGCAGGAACCTGCATATCAACCATCTGGAACTGCTGGCCGTCATGAAAGTGTTTAAAGCCTTCCTACCTCTGATACAGGATTGTGGTGTACAGCTGGTCACCGACAACACCACGAACATGTACTACATCAACACACTCCAAATCCCTTCTGTTTCTAACAATTCACCTGTGGGAGTGGTGCTACCAGCACCATATCTTTCCAGTAGCCATTCACATTTGCAGGCAACGCAACGAGACAGCAGACAAACTCAGCAGACTGATATCTCAATCACACGAGTGGGAGCTGGACAACGAGGTATACACCTCCCTCTGCCACCGCTGGGGATATCCCAGGGTGGATCTGTTTGCAACTCGGCTGAACAAAAAATGCAGACTTTATGCTTCCAGGGCAGGTCATGGAACGGACTCTCATGATCCCTTGGAGCAAGGGCCTACTCTACCTCTTTCCTCCAATCCCCCTCATACAAAGAACTCTGATCAGGTTATGTCAGACAAGATCAGAAGCCATACTAGTAGCACCATACTGGCCTCAAAAAGCATGGTTTCCTACACTTCAAGCAATGGCTTCAGACACGGCCAGGCTTCCACCTTGGCCACATCTTCTCACCAAGATGCCAGCGTGGTTCTCCATCCAGATGTGGAAATGCTGCATTTGACAGCGTGTAGGATCTCCCCTCGATCAAAGAGGTACTAGACAGTGCCAGGAAGCCCTCTACTACTCACCTATACCATTATAAGTGGAAGAGTTTTGTTAACTTTGCAGAGACTAGACATCTGCAAAGCACTCCAGTGACATTTTCCATTTTGCTCCAATTTCTACGTTATTTGTTTGATCTCGGCCTTTCCCTTTCGACTCTGAAAGTTTACACAGCAGTTATTGTATCCTTTCAACCCAGGGACTCTAGTTCAGCACGCCTATTTTGCCATCCTATGCTTAAGGCATTCCTCAAGGGCCTGACCAACCTTAGACCACCTACGAAGGCCCCTACACCTCAATGGTCACTTCAGGTGGTTCTTCACGCTTTAACTCAACCACCGTTTGAACCTATGGCGACTTGTGTCCTTCAGTTGCTCTCATTCAAGATGTCATTCCTTGTTGCTATCACATTGGCGAGGAGAGCTAGCAAAGTTGCGGCTCTTTGCTCAGACCAAAGATATCTACATTATTTTTGAGAAAGTTGTATTACACCTCGACTTGTCCTTCCTACCTAAGGTGGTTTCAGACTTTTATGTGAATCAACCACTCATATTACCCACTCTCTTCTCCAATCCAAAAACTGATGCTGAGCACATGCTCCACACCCTTGATGTCAGAAGAGCCTTAGCGTTTTATGTTTCCCGCACCAAGAACTTCCGTTCTTCGCCTAGACTGTTCCTCTGCTTCTATGGCAATAAGAAAGGATCTCCAGCATCTTCATCAACCCTCTCCAGATGGCTCGTCTCTACTATTTCCTTGGCATATGAAATCCAACATAGGAATCCACCTGAAGGCCTTAGGGCTCATTCCACGAGAGCCATGGCTGCTTCTACAGCCCTCCTATGTGGCATTGACATTCCGGACATCTGTAGGTCTGCCACCTGGTCCAATGCCTCCACCTTCATAACTCACTACAGACTGGACCTGAGGGCTAAGAGAGAGACGAGCTTCGGGAGAGCAGTGTTGACATCTATACTTCAGTGACATCCCACCTTCCGGTGAGTGGGCGTGCTAGTCACCCTTTTGTGTGTATTCGCAGAGTCCACATTGAAGGAAGACAGGTTACTTAACTGTAACCATGGTTCTTCAAGTGTGTGAAATGAATGCAATTGTATATGGTAGTTGGAGCATTCTTTGGCACTGCCCTTCTTTGGGATTGGGATATAGACTGATCTTTCCCAATCCTCTGGCCACTGCTGAGTTTTCCAAACTTGCTGACTTATTGAGTGTAGCACCTTAACAGCATCATTTAAGATTTTAAATATTTCAACTGGTATGCCATCACCTCCACTGGCCTTGTTGTTAGCCATGCTCTCTAAGGCCCACTTGACTTCGCTCTCCAGGATGTCTGGCTCAAGGTCAGCAACCACACTATCTGGGTTGTCCAGGACATCCAGATCTTTCTGGTATAATTCCTCTGTGTATTCTTGCCTCCTCTTCTTGATGCATTCTACTACTGTTAGGTCCCTACCATTTTTGTTCTTTATCATGTCCATCTTTGCACAACATGTTCCTTTAATATCTCCAATTTTCTCTGGTTCTTCTTCGTGGCCTCTGTGAATACACACAAATGGATTGTTCTGCGCCTGTGCTGAACTTCTCGAAAGACACTAAAGCTAAAAGTAACAATTTAGTGGGACATTTCCCTGTGGGGCACATGCTCCTCCCACTCCAGATTCCCCTCAGTTCCTTTTTTCTGCCAAGCTGTTCAGGCTTAGGAAAGATAGAGCATTTTTTCTTCACAACAAACTAAATATTATTGAACTCTGATTCTATTCTAATTGATAACTTATTGTTTTTCAATCAAATTCATCAACATTCCCCTATAAGTTAGTTCCATTTTTGCCTTTCCCGCCTTTTTGATTCCCTTCCCCCCACCCATTTCCAACCGTCCTTTTCTTTCCTCCTTATGGTCTTGCCAGCGCCTTTTAGGAGCTGTGTCAGTTGTGCTAATAAGATTCCTCTCTCGGACGGCTACGAGAAGTGTTTGTTTTGTTTGGGTAAAGAACACCGGAATCACTTGTGCACCGCGTGTAAGAGACTAACCAAACCGGCATTGAAGTTAAGGCTACAGAGATTGAGATCTTACTTTTGGCAGCAGGTGATGGATCCGCCTACAATGGGTGCAGAAACGGCCAGATCACCTACCGTATCGGTTGAGTGACAAGCTTCAGCACACTAGCTCCCGATCCATCAATTCCATCTCCCTTGTCTAAGGAGACCAACGCAAAGGTCAGGTCCACGGCTAAAGAAAGTCAACGCTGACTTCAAAGACATCTTTGCGGTCTGATAAAGAAAAAGAAGGAAAAATCAGTCACTAAAAAGAATAAGAAAAAGCCAAATCCACTGCTATCAAACCTCCTCAGGCTATTCTCCCTTTACCTATATTTGAGGAGTTGTCTAGGGAGACCCGTGTTTCTACCTCAGAGAGAGAGAGAGAGAGAGCACAAACGTCAATGGCTCGAACTGTCACCTCGGCAGACAGCCTCTTTCTGGATGTTGGCCATTCTGGAGCTGAGTCACAGTCCAGCATGGCCTCGGCACATTCTAGTTCTGCAACAGGGGGGGCAGTTAACATCCAATCATCTGGGTCCAATTCCGACCACCATCCCCCCCAAGAAACACAGAGAAAAGAGAAAACACATTTCTCAACCTCGACATCAATCAGGCAGGGAATACTTCCCCTTGCCATATCAGTTTTTCGACCTCATGCAACAATATTTTGATCATGCACTCATTCATGGCATCGAGGTTGATCCCATAAGCCTACGACAACTGCTTTCACAGCACAGGTACCAACCACGTCATCCACCCGGTCGAAATCATTGCATAGGGAGAAACCTAAGCAACATGGACACAAATCACTACAAACTACTAATACAGGACTCTCAACCTATACATTCCTCTATTCGGAACCATTCGTGTTCCATGCCTCAGACAGTCGATACCGAAATCCTTTCTTCATCCAACTCCTGATGATGAAATTCTTTTGGACTCATCACCATTACCTGATCTCCCTACTCCGACCTCTCATATATAATCATCCTTCCTCCCCCTAGGAGGACTATACATCTTATTCACAGATGGTGTCGAGGATGGCTAAAGCTTTACAGCTCCATGCCAAGGAGCTACCTTCTCCAGAAACCAATCCAGATAGATAGATAAAGCTTTATTACAGTCAAAGACCAGACACAAATAAAACATCAAAATATATAAATATACAGAGGTATACAAAAATATTGGGAACAAATGCAAATACTCGGTTCTTAGGTGAACAGCAGCATCAGAACATCTCCCCTAAAGCAATTCCAGAATTTCTAGCAAACCATGCTCTAACTACAGAGGCTCATCTGCTTTTAGGGACCTTTTTCTAATGCCCGTTGCAGCAGTAAGAAATTTGGCAACGCTATGTGTAAGAATGGGATTGGAGTCAAACAGCAGCACATGCATATATTGTTGCTCTGTACAACTGGGAAATTGGCCAATCAGAGGGGAAACAAGTTCTTCACGTACATCCTTGTAAAATGTGCACCACAACAAGATGTGTTCAATTATTTCTATCTGCTCCATTCCACATGGGCAAAGGTGCTCTGCCCAGGGGGTCTTTTTATACTGTCCCTCCTACACTGCTGAGGGTAGTGCATTAAGCCAGGCCAGAGTAAATGCCCTTCTATGCCTGGGCTGTTCCAACTGGGCAAAATAAGGTACTGCTGTAACCTTGTATAAATTGTCCTCCCTAAGGTAGAATTTTGGGGCACTGCTTAAATCATTTTGTCTCTCAGTGTGTCCTCAATACACTGCTTAATTATTTTCTTTGCCTGTTCCATTCCCATGGTTAACAAAGTCAACCTAGACCTAGAGAGACCCAAAGAGGCTAATTTTTGCTCAATTAACTGAACCCATTTTGACTTTAAGGTGTCTTGCAGGATCATTGGTGCAAGACCAACGGGGAGATAAGACAGTCTGAGCCAGCACATGAGAATTGCAATGCATATCCTGGCTTCGATTTTAATTTGACCAGTTTCCAATCTTAGTTTTACATTGGTGACATCTCTGGGGACTCCTAACATTGCCCCCCAGGAATTTTGACTGTACACGTTCTAAGCTTGTAATATTTGGTAAGGGGCCCAATTGGGAGCCATACAGTAGTAGCTTTTGTGTGGAACAATTTAATGGCTGAGGGAATGTAATGCCCCCTTTGTTCTCATAAATTGTAATATTGCAGCAGCCAATCCAGTTTTTGATGACATCAATCAGGAATGGTCCCCTCCTCTGAGTCTTAGCTTCATCAAGTCCATTCTTAAACTGATTAAAGATACGTGGGATAAGTCACCATCAATGATGCAGATATCCAGACACACTGAAAATATGTACAAAAACCATGGTTCAGATATAGAGCTTTTACTTAAACACCCTCTTCCAAACTCCATAATTGTTGAATCCAGTCAATCAAGAGGAATAGATCTACTATAGCACCATCAAACAAAGAAGGAAGATTGACATTCTGGGAAGGTGGATTTACTCTCTTCAAACTTAGAAACATCAACTACCAAGCTGTGATGGGGGCGTACCAGCGACGGCTTTGGAACAAGGTACTGCCTCTTCTTGAATCTGCACCGGAATCATTGAAGTCTGAGCTCATTAACATTCACACCGAAGCCATTAATCTTGCAAAACAGCAGAGGATTGCAGCCAGGTATGCAGCAGAGGCAGTGTCGAAAACTATGGTATCATCTATAGCCCTACACTATAGATGCATGGTTGAGATCTGCATTGTCGGATGACACTAAGGCAAGGATTGAGGACCTTCCTTTCGGTGGGACTGGTCTATTCAACCACAAGACAGATGACACAATGGAGAACATCCACAAATCCGCAAGACGGCTAAGTCATACTCATCACACCAATCGTTCAGGTACCAAAGACCACAATATAGACAAAATCATTCCCTCAATCATACCAGCAACATCAAAGATTCCATCCATATCGGCAGTTCCGCCCTCAACAATCTGACAGGTCGTTCCAGGACCCACCATGTCTTCATTTCGGGATCAAAGTCAATCTCGACAGTGACAGCCCTTTCTCGAAACGCAAAAAAGGGGTAATACTAATGCAGTGTTTAATTACAATGTACAAATTTATCATTCCCATTATCAATTTCAAACAAGACTGAGTACATTTTTCCAATCCTGGCAAGATATTACCAAGGACAAGTGGGTCCTTTTCATCATTAAATACGGTTATTTTATTGAATTCGAGACTTTGCCACTTTTGGGAGAAATCAGATCTACTTCATATTCTTTAGTTCTTCAAAATGAAGTTTCAACCCTTCTTCAAAAGCATGCAACAATTAGAGTGTCATCATCTGATTTGTATAATGGCTTCTATTCAGAATATTTCACGGTCCCCAAGAAGAATAAGGGGCTTCAAACCATCCTTGATTTGAGACTCCTCAATAAGTTTATTCAAGCTTGAAAGTTTAGAACGCTGACACTCAAAACTATTATTCCTTTACTTTCACAGGGAGATATTTACATATTTCCATCGATCTTGCCCATCAAAGGTTCCTCAGATTCCAATTCAACAAGGCTGTGTACCAATATTGTTCCCTATGGCACCGAGAACTTTTACCAAATGCATGGCACTGGTGGCAGCATATCTCCATCATCAGGGAATAAATATTTACCCCTACATGGGACTACTTTATCTATTCCCACCAATACCACTGATTCAGAGAACAATCATCACAATTCAACACTTCAGATCGGATGCCATAGTTGCCCACCAACCAGACAACTCCAGTTTAGCACAACTGTTTTCTCATTCTACAGTAAAGAAATTTCTTAAAGGACTAAATAATATCCATCCACCACGCCAACGTATTTCAATGGTCTCTCCAAATTGTTTTAAATGCTCTTATGCAACCACTGTTTGAATCCATGGCTTCGTCAAACCTGAAGTTGCTTTCGTTGAAAACAGCATTCCTAGTGACTGTAAC